AAAATAAATGGGCATGTTCAAGTCAGGTTAAATGTTGTTGGTGGGATTTAGGACTTTGCCCTTAACTCAAGGAACATCCCCCATCCTGAAACTTTGATAACAGGACAGGAAGTGAATTGGGCTTGTAATGCAGCCATTGAACCGTTGAAAAAAATGGATTGCATAAATCATAAGGAATACATTCACATGCACAAGGCAAACACAAGGGACAGTAGGATGCAACACAGAGTATGTACTTGGGTTGAAACAGACATTTGATGGTTTGTTTTTGTCTCCTCTGGATCGGAATCCTAGCGTCACTCCTGTGGAATGCCCTGTGTTGTATGAAGAAGGAATGCGCATGATGTACAATGAGGACTCTAGCTATGAGAAGATTGACAAAGATGAGATAGAAGTTCTAAAAGAAACAAAGAAACAATTTTGTTCATTAAAGCTCAGCAAAATAGCAAGTTGGGATCAGAAAGGAAGGTTGCTGCAAGCCTACATTCTTTCAAAGGACAAGGACCTTCAGAGGAAGAGGCCTATTATACCTTCTTTCTTGAGCCCAACTTCACATGCAATGGGTCTGCTGCCAAAATGTCTGAACTTTCTCATAAAGAGACTCAGTGGGAGACATTTTAACCTCTCAGGTCCCAAACAATTGAAGGAAGAAATTGAGAGAGTAAATGAGAAGGTAAATAAAAAACTGGGGATTCATGGGAGAATGATTGCAAGAACCTACTACGTAAAGGAGATGTGTACAAATTTACCGCATGATGAAATTGTGAGAGCAGTGGATGATTGAAGTATTTCGAGACAAAAAGCATGGGTGGATTAGGGTAAAAACGAGAGGGAAGAAAGCAACCTTCGACAAATCACATAGTGAGCCTGGGTGGAAGTCTATTAGAATGAATGACCTTATTACCCTGATAGCGTTTCAATTGCAGCACATTTTTTTCTACTCCATGACTCATATTCTCAGACAGAGGATTGGGATTCCAATTGGAGGGAGAGTTAGCCCCCCTCTGGCCAACGTCTTGTGCATCTTTGCAGAACAGCAGTTCATTTCGACACTGGGGAGTGATTCCAAGTATATCGAAGGAAAGAGATTCATTGATGATTTGTTGCTCGTGGGATGGTATGACAACAAAGGATTGTCACGCTGGAGCGAACTGACGAAGGAAATGAGATTCTGAAATTTCTCGAAATGAGATTGATTGTTGGAGATCTCCCGGCATGGGTCTACAACTCCCGCAAGTTCAAGAATATTGAAACTATCTCGGAAGGGGAAAGGGGGCACTTTAAGACCATCAGGGATTTCAAATCATATGCTCCAAAGATCCAGAAATTTGCTGCGGTTTTCAACACTCTCTGCAGGATTTGGGACAACTCCAATACCAAACTCACACTGTGGAGTAGTCTTATCACATTTCTAAAGGAGACAGGAATCCTTGGGTATCTGAAGGAAACCTTTACAGCGGTACTTAGAAGGATGGTCAGAAAGCGGAAATCAGAGTTCGAAGTGGACATGATCGAGAAGTTAATACATTGAATCGAGGATGAGTAATAGTAGGTTAGGGGTCGGGGGTGGGGGGCGAGAGGCCCATTCAGGGGAAATCGGTATGAAGCTGTACCTGGAAAAGTCGACTCAGTAACGTAAGCCAGCAATGAGAGGATGAGAAGGTCCTACCGGAACAGTCTTGCACTGCAATATGGTGGATCCTGCAACGGGATTTAGTTAGTTTTCCATCTTTAGTTTGTTAATTACAAGGGGATATTTCGGAGCAGCCGCCGTGGTCCAAAGGTAACTCGTCTGGGATCGACCGTTTTTTTTTTTTTTTTTTTTTTTTTTTTTTTTTTTTGGTACTACATTACCCAAAATGGAAAGGACACGAAACGACGAAATGCAAACCACACAAGGCGCAGCCTCCTGGCTGCGAACATCGTTCGCCCCTATTTTGAAACGGGAAGAAATGTCACCCCTCAAAAGGGAAACTGTGAACGGCCCTTATGCTGATTTTCGAACGACCTGGACAAGCTAACCTGCCCTATGACCGGTCTTAGGGACGACTGCGACCGGACCCTTTTTCTGCTTTCGGAAACCCCAAACGGACCCATCCTAGCAACGCTGTACTGCACGACATTACCCAAAATGGAAAGGACACGAAACGACGAAATGCAAACCACACAAGGCGCAGCCTCCTGGCTGCGAACAGTCCTCCCATGATGGTATGTCGAGTTCTTGCCCGAATGTCGAAAAGGAGAACGGACCAACTTCAAATACGCCAATCAAGAACTCATGGACTTCATTTATCACACAGCAAAGAATCCCTGAACTTCCCCCACGCAGTAGCTATAGGCGCTCGACCCTCTGTCCTGCTGCTCAGGCCAAGAGGAGCAACACTCCCCAACATTCCAATATATCTGCTCTTACTTTGTCTGCTCACGGGAAAGTCAATCCCAGACAATTACCGTTGGGCCAAATCCCCACCAGTACAGCGTTGCTAGGATGGGTCCGTTTGGGGTTTCCGAAAGCAGAAAAAGGGTCCGATCGCAGTCGTCCCTAAGACCGGTCATAGGGCAGGTTAGCTTGTCCAGGTCGTTCGAAAATCAGCATAAGGCTCCGTCCACAGTTTCCCTTTTGAGGGGTGACATTTCTTCCCGTTTCAAAATAGGGGCGGACAATTTGGGCCTGGGGCGTTTCTGCTTTTGTTTTTTTTTTTCAGTTTGAACTGCATCTCCCGATAAATATGGGAAGCATTCATCTGTTTACTGCTACGAAGTATTGAAAAACGAGAAGGGAGTGCCCTGCCTTGTTGGCAGGGCTTACTGAAAAAAAAAGGCAAAAAAAGAGCTATCGAGATCTAGGGCCTAGCTCCACGACTCACAGAATGTGCAAAATGAGAATGAATAGTCCTATAGAACATGGGTAGATACATGTCAAGTAGTTCATAGGTTAAACTGGCATTTTGCCTTCGTTTTTTTTGTTTTTTTTTTCGGAAGAAGAATGTTTTATGTTTCTCACGTGACTCAGGCTTGGATCGCACTGGCCGGCGGCGTGGAAAAATTTTGGCGAGGAAGCCTATTTCAGACCCCACAGGTGTTGAAAACCATCGTGGAAAGTCGTCCAAGAAAGGAAAATCAGACCCCACTGCGGTTGGAAAAAGGTCGTGGAAATGCTGACGGGGCGTTTCTACTCGGCTCACGGTCTGGAAATTTCTGGCGACGAGTTTCCAAACAGTTTCCAAGGACGGCTCCAGACGAGTAGGGGGGGGGGGCATGGAAAAGAGTTTCCAGAAAACGACTGGACGGCGTGAACCACGGACCGTAGCCGTGGACCGTTTTCTGGATCAGTGCTTCCGCGCTGACACGGTTTTCATTTTCTTGCGTCGCACGGTTCCCACCGGGCCCCGGGGGTGTCTGGGCCCTCCATGCTACCCTCGGACTGCGAACGGCAAGACGCAGTATTTCAAATTTGAATTTTTTTGGCGGCCTCGGGACGTAGGCTAGCCATGCAGTCGCTTCATGCCCACCAACTTCAGTGGCAGAAGCATCGGCAGTGACACCCTCACGTCGTCGTCGTCGACACGTCCATTAAATCCTCCGTCGTTTCTCACGGGCGTTATGCCATCGCTCATCTCCTTCGTGCGTGCAGGTTCCCTGGCCTGCCAACGGGGAAGCCATCTCTGGTGGCGTCGGCAGGCGTTCTCCGGTCGGGGCTTCCATTTCGAAGCCGTAGGCGTTGTGCCGAGCAATGTCTGCAAAACGCACAACCCGGCCACGACGCTCTCGGTATCTGCCCGCGCGCACACGTGTCTTCCAATGCTGACCTCCCGTGTCGTCGTCATTGCACATGCCTTGCTCCGTCGTGTGCCTCCCTTGCCATCCTCCCTTCTTCGTCTGCCTTGGCAGGGCGGTCGTTTGTCCTCGCCGGAGAGCAACACCAGCTCATGTGGCCACAGGTGGGCTGCACGGGACGATGTCGTCATAAGTCCTCATCCAAACACTCGCCACGTGTCGGTTGTCGAACGCTGTGGCCAGGCGTGTGGATGTGGCAGCTGCCATCGTCATTGTTCAGTGGATGTTGTCATAAACAACCACTGCGGCGGCTGCGGTCGACAAAAACAATCATCTTTGGCTGTTATTGTTGTCCTGCTTGCCGTTGCTATCCTCCTTTCCGCAGCGTTTGTGTTGTCCGTTGTTTTCTGATGCGCAATCGTGTACTTGTCCTGTCGTCGGTGGAGGTAAGCAGCGCAGCGTTGTTGTTCGAGGGCGCATTGCGTGTTTGCAGGTTCCCTGGCCTCCGTGTGTAAAGCTTCCGCAGCCAGATGGAGTCGTACCGGTCGACGACAGATCCCTGTGCGGGCAATGGCGGGGGTTTCCAGATCCAGGACATGCGACAACAAGGATCTGTCCACTACTCCACGCCTTCGCCGTCGAGTGTGCAATTCTTCAGCGGGCAAATGCTGGAGGTTGTGCGTGTGGGGCCGATTCAAGTGCCTCCTGCTCGTGAGGGCTCACCATCTGTCCATCACATGGATGCTGCACGTCGGCGGTTCGTTGTTCGACCCACTACAGAAAGTCTGCACGCGGGCGCCGTGCACACGGGCCAGACGTCGTTTTGCACACAGGTTGGAGGTGGGTATGGCATGCCTTCTCCGCACATGTTCCCGGGGGCCGACGGATATGGCATTGCGCCGCACGTGTACCCCGCCCAGCACACAGTGGAAAGGGGCGAAGTGATGAGGGACGAGTGGCAGTGGTCCCCACAGTGCCGATAACCGTCGCAGCCCATGCATGGCGGTTGTCCGCTCCATCGCCCATGTCGGTGCCGCGGTCTGCTGCCGAGGCCTCACCTTCGGTGGCAGAAGTGCAACGAGAGGATATGGACGAGGGGTGGCCTGTCCATAGTCGTGCTCTGTCTCCTGCCGGCTTGCAAGGTCCTTCCTTTGGTGGCGAGGAAGACGACTTCGTTGGCGACGATGAAGTTGAAGGTGATGGCGGTGACGTTGACGGGCGAAACTCGGACAACGCGCAGGAGGAGAGGGACAGTGCTACTGTCGGGCAGAGAGATGGGGGCGGGAATGAAGCGGGGCCCCAAACCAGCAAGCGTGCAAACAAGCGGGGGGGGGAAGATGCTGCTGTGAAAAGCAAGAAGCAAAACATCCCGTGGTCCTTGGATGAGAGGATCGCGGATGGCCGAGGACAACGCCCTTATGGCCGACGCCGATGGGCAGCATCGGTTTAAGCGGAGCAAGGACCGGTATGAGTGGGTGCACGATCGGATGGCGGAGCTGGGGTTTCCGCACAGGTCGGCGAAGGATTGTCGTAAGAAGTGGCAGGGCATGATGGTTGCCGTGAAGTTGATTCTCGACAAGTGTGAGAATGCTTCGGGGAAACCTTCCTACTGGGACATGACCCTTGAGGAGCGGAAGGCGGAGCAGGTTCCACTAGGCTTTGAGAAAGCTCTGTGGGAAGCGATTGAGTGGAAACTTAATCGGCCTTCCATCAAGTGCGACAAGACGCTGGTGTCGGAGAACCTGCCAGCTAACGCGGGGGGGAATTCTTCGAGCGGCGGTCCTGCACAACCGTCGTCGGGGAGGAGCGCTTCTGACGAGAAAGCAACGGAGGATTTTGACCACGCAGCGAAGACACAAAGGACAAACACCGGCAAAGCGAGGATGGACGACACGATCAGCGGAGGGACAGCATTGGGTAGGGCGATGGAG